CGGTGGCCTGTGAAGGTTGGGTGGTCGGTGGTGATAAAATTTTCAAAGTATAAGTCGTTGATAAAATTTAGAGCTTCTTTGGGAACTTATATCTTTTGTAAAAACGAAACATTCAGTTTGATTGTTTCACAAAGTTTACACCTATTTCTAAATTTTACACATTTTCTAAAAATTTACACCTTTTCGTGGAAATATTTACAACTTTTTTGAAAAATTACACATTTTGTGGAAAAACCTTTTTCATAAAATTTACACTTATTATTTGAAGTTACACCTTTAGTGAAAAACAAAACTTACATCTTTTCTGAGGTCATTTACACCTTCTTCGGAAAAACATACACCATATTTGAAAAGGTTCTACCTTTTGTCAAATAATTTTTTTTAACAAACTTTATCAAAGCATATTTTTCATAAAACGTGTAAATTTTCAAAAAATGTGTAATTGTCTTCACCAAAGATGTAACTCCTATTAAAAGGTGTAAATTTTTTTAAAATTTTTGTTTCACAAAAGGAGTACCTTTTCAGAAGAGGTGTAAGTTTTTAAAATAAGGTGTAAACTTGATGAAAACATATTTTTCATAGAAGGTGTAAATTTTTAAAAAATGTGTAAGTTTTGCTAGCAGAAAAGGCGTAATATCCCATAAAAAGTGTAAATTTTATAGAAAAAGTTATTCACAAAAGCAGTAACCATTCAGAAAAGGTGTAAGTATTCCCACAAAAATGTGTAATCATTTAGAAAAGGTTTATGTTTTTAACAAAATGTATAAATTTTATGTAAATATTTTTTCCATGAAAGGTGTATATTTTCAAAAACTTGTATGTGGTTTCACAAAAGATGGAAGTTATGTCACAAATGATGCATTTTTTTTTTCACAAAAGGTGTAACTTCCCATTAAAGGTGTAAATTTTATGGAAAATATAATTTAGATTTCCATAAAAGGTGTAAACATTTTCAGAAAAGATGTAAGTTATGTCACAAAAGGTGTAAGTTCTAATAAAAGGTGTATATTTTCTGAAAAAAAATGTTTCACAAACGGATTAACTTCTCATAAAAGGTGTAATTATTTCCACTAAAAGGTGTAAACTTTTAGAAAACATGTAAGTTTTTAACAAAAGGTGTAAACTTTATGAAAACATATTTTCCATAGGTGTAAAATTTTTCACACAAGATGTAAGTTATTTGACAAAAAGTGTAAGTTCTGTTCTCGAAAAATGTGTAAATTTTTTTAATAACATTCTTTACAAAAGTAGTAACTTCTCACAAAATGTGTTAGTATTTCAACGAAAATGTGTAAATTTTACAAAATAAATTATTTCGCAAATGTGTAACCTTCCACAAATAGTGTAAGTGTTTTCACAAGAGACGTAAGTAACTTCGCAAAACGTGTAAGTTCCGTTTTTTCACAAAACGTGTAAGTTCCTAAAATCCAATCAAACTGTATTTGTCTTGTTCAAATAATGGCAATGTAAGAGAGAAGGGCGTTTCGGAGGGCTTGGCCTTTCTCTCAGTAGAAGTCCGTTTCAGAGAAGATGAGTTTGAGAGGGCTTGGAATAGCGACTCCAAGTCCAAATCCAACCAAGTATGTCAATGTAAAAGAGAACCATTTTTAATATAGAGCAAGAGACAGACACAAAGAGAGAGATAGACTGAGATCGATAGACATAGAGACCTAGATGGACAGTGATCGACAGAGACAGCCAGACCGAGATCGACAGAGAGGGACCGAAATCGACAGAGATCGACAGAGAAAAGACTGACAAGGACACAGACAGACCAAGATTGCTGGAGACAGACCGAGATAGTCAGGGATCGACAGAGAGAGATCGACATCGATGGAGAATAGGCCGACATCGACAGAGAGAGACCAAGATCGATAGCGAGAGAGAAAAAAACCTTTGATTTGTGGTAGCGGCAGCGGCAGCGGCCGTGGCGGTGGCCGTAGCGATCGCTGTGGAGGTGGCGATGTCAGATGGCAGTTAGCACCGGAGGCGACTGACGCTTGGGTGGTTAGCGGGGGTTAGGATTGGTGGTGACTATTCTGTGTGTGTGCGAGAGAGAAGATAGAAAGTGTTGGTGGAAAACAGAGAAGAGGGGGGCCGATGGTAATAAAATTTTAAATCTTTAGCGACTAAACTGTTATTTGTCGATAAAATTTACACTAAACTAAATTTTACACTTTTTCTGAAACATTACACATTTTCTGAAATTTTTTCTAAACTTATACCTTTTCGTCAAAATACTTACGCCATTTTGTGAAAGTTTACACAAATTTCTGAAAGTTTATACCTTTTCGTCAAAACACTTGCACCATTTTCTGAAGGTTTACACATTTTCTTGAAAGTTTATACCTTACACCATTTTGTGAAAGTTTACACCCATTTCTGAAAATATTTTCACATTTTACACCTTTTAGGACCTTTTATGGAATTATTAATATATTATATTATTTAATTAATATACCTACAAAGGACCCGTTTAGCAGGTCACCAATGTGTAAACGTTCAAAAAATATCGTATAACCCAATACATAAAAGATGTAAATGCAAAATAGAAAGGGTGTAAATGCCTTGCATACCATACGCAAGGCACACCTAAGAAAAGTCCTAATAATAAATAAACAATAAAAAACATAAAGCACAAAAACTAACTAACTTGAGCATAACTTTAAAATTTTAAATATGAATCGTTTTTAGTTGTTTTACCCTCAATTAAAAATCAAAATTATTTACATTGTGGTAGATCACTATGATTTTAACTCAATGTTGCCCTTTTAAATTGAGATCCTGGCTCCGCCACTGCACAGTAAGACCTTATTATAAAATAATGGTGAAGAAATTTTTTTGATCAATTGAATCCCTCACATTAAGACAAAGAAAATATTAAAAATAGTAATATTCTATATTTATATATAATATTTTATATATATTATAAATGAAATATATATAATAATAATTTTTTCTCTCCTAAAAAAAAAAAAACTTTTAAAATATAATTTCAAATGTATTATATTAGGTGAAACATAAAAATACATTGGGTTATAAATCCTCAAAATAGAATTTATAAATAACTCATGTGAGACAAAATATAAATCCTCAAAATAGAATTTATAAATAACTCATGTGAGACAAAATATTGATTAAGACACAACAAAGAAAGGGTAAAAAACTGTTGGTAGCCCACTATTTGCTGAGAAATTATTCATTGCCCGAAGGGCAATCCTAGGTGGTGCTCCAACCTAGTTATTATTGGTGGAAACAGGGGGTCCTACTCTTTTGAAGGAGATAATTGGATACTTATCTAAATATGAATGGGATAGAACAATGTTTCTGGGGCAATGAATAATTGCTCCCATTTTTTTATTGTAAACATTATTTCAACGGTCCTAAAACACCAGCCACATAAGTACGTCCCATTTTTGTCGTGTCTGGGTCCCTCACTCGTTTCGTTTCACGGAAACTCCATCATCATTCACCCAATCAAACCCACCCCCACCACCGCCATTTTCAACCACGATTACCCCCACCCATCCACACAAACCCCAAATCAAACACTTGCTCTGCATAACAATAACTATAACAATAACAATAACAATTCAGCCTTGAATCGAATCGAAGAAGAAACAAAGCGCTGTGATGGAAAACTCACCCACCTTCGTAGTTCCTCTCTTCCTCAACATACTCACATCTCTCTTCATCTTCGCCGACAAATCGCTCCTAACCTTAGCCGAGAGGTACAAGCTCCTCCAACTCCTCCGCTGCTTCCTCATCTCCTCCTTCCTCTTCCTCCTCCGCCTCCTCCCCCACCCCTCTCTCTCCCTCTCCCCGGAAACCTACAATTACTCTCACAAACCTCCCAAATCCCAAAACTACGTCCCCCCCGCCGCATCTGCCGCCGGCTACGGCGGCGGAGGCGGAGGCGGCGGAAGTGGTGATTCGGGTATCGCTCGAGCGCTTTCGCAGTTGTTGTCGATCGTTACTGATATTCCGGTCAGCTCTAGGAAGTATGAAGTTGTTCGATCTTTAGCGGAGAGGCTTATAGAAGAGAATCTCCAGGAGCGGTCTGAACCCGCTCCGTGCGGTGAACTGTGCGGTTCTTTCGGCGGCTTTTTCGAGGACTTTGAGGCAGTTTGAGGCTGCTGTGATGGACCGGGATCAGAAACGGGACCTTGGCGGTCCGAGTGGTGAAGCGATGACGACGGGTGAGAAGCGAGAAGGGGGAGATTACAAGAAAGTGAGGAGGGTTTTGAGGGCGGTTCGGGATGTGGCGTGGACCCGGTTCGGGAAGTCGAGGGAGGAGATGAACCGCCGGGGGTTGGGGAGTTCGGCGGAGAAGCTTGCTGCTGAGGTGCTGTGGCTGGCTCAGAAGATGGCGGCTTGTGGATGTGTGGAGGAAGCTGTGGAGAAGTGGGCTTCGGCTACGCAATTGGCTTGGCTAGCTCTCTTCGCTGAGCCGCGGCTTCAAGGGTCTCTTGTTAAGGTCTCAGGTATGTGTATACATGTCATTTTTACACCATTGGACTTGTGTGCTTCATTATTTGATTATGGAACATTTTGGATTCTATGTTTATGCTTAGCCACAATTTTAACTTCAACTAATTAAATGAGTTTAGTAAAACATAATAATGCCATCTAGTGAGAAAGGACAATTATTCTCTGCAGTGCGTGGCACGGCTTGGAAGATTCGTCAAGATTTCACACCCCTTAATATTGATAATGCAAATTTGACCCGTCAAGGGTCATTGTCTTACTGTTCTTAGAAAGTATAATTTTTTGCAAAAAAGAAAAAATCGTAGTGGATTTTCTTGATTTTCCTTCTAAAGTGACTCCAAAAATTCTTATCAGGGTATTCCTTTGAAAGACACCCCAAATATTGTGTTAAGCATAAGCAAAGAAATTTTTACTTCAATTCTATATTATATTACTCAGGAATCTAATTACAATTTTACAGAATTTGCTATAAAAAATAACTAAGAAAACAATTGTTAATCAAACAAACAAATAAACAACACACCTAATTTATATCTACACCATACATAGTTTCTGAATACAAAGTCTTGTTAAAAAAATAAGAGAATAGAATCAATAGAAGACGAGAAAATGGGATATCCCCTGGTGTCTCCAACCAATGTAATGGGAAATCTCACATTTTGGTAATGAGACTACAAGGGTAGGTTAGTGGGAGATAAGGGTTGACCTACTCAATGAAGACAAGAAAGTGGGATATCCCCTGGTGTCTCCAACCAATGTAATGGGAAATCTCACATTTTGGTAATGAGACTACAAGGGTAGGTTAGTGGGAGATAAGGGTTGACCTACTCAATTCTATGCGAATTTTTATTGTCTAGTGATGAATTGTGTCACTGTTAGACTTGATATTTATTTATGGGTGTCATGTGGTCTCCTACTTTTGACCAAATGTTCTGTTATTTTTAAGGTAACAGAATGTTCAGGGGTTCAAGGCTAAGCTAACCTACCACTCTTTACATATCATATATAAGTTTAGGGTATTCAATTGAACACCCTTCATCAATACATAGCACCACTCTTGTCTGAGATCCACGTGTTAATGGATACAACAACTTCTAATTACAAAGAACTTAGTTGGGAGAGAACTCCCTTTTCGAGGAAGAGAGATCTCCAAAGTGTGGAGGACTTGGAAACATCAATCCTGTCTTTTGACAGCAAAGGGTGGCCAAACTAAGTTAGGTCCAGTTTATTAGACCTTGAAGTGTTGTTACCTGTAAGAGATTTGCCTCTTTTTGGGTTATGAATTTGGAAAAGAATCTAAATAAAAGGGCATAAGTGAAAAAATTATCTTCTGATTCTTACACTTTTCCCTATACAATCCAAAAGACCAATGAAAAAGCTAACACACCTTTTGACAATGGAAAACTTTTCTATCAGGTACTAGAACTCCAAAGCCTCCTGTGAGAATATTAGGTTTTGTATATATACTACACCACTTTATATAACAATCTAACCTACGACTGAAAAGGAAACAAGAACATTGACTCAAATCCCTAATATATACAAAATATATATACTGCCATATATGCACAAAACCTAATATTTTCACACCTCCACTACTGCAGTCTTGACATCATGGCCAACATTTGTAAGATGTTGACAAAGATTAGAGTGATATCTCCTTATATCCAAAAAAAAAATAAAAATAAATGCAGGGTTCTATAATCAAATAAATGCCTTCCTTCCAATTAAATCTGTAGGCCCAAAATTCCCATTTAGTAAACATTTCTAAGCTTAAATGAAATATTTAAGAGAGTGAAAAAGTACCTATCGTATTGCATTATGTGCTTGCTGTAGAAATTTTTTTGACAGCTTTTTTTCTTAATTTAAACTTTTGAAATGGTCTTTCAGATCGAAATATAAATTTTCTTTCAAATATGTAAATACATATCCACCATATTTAAATTTTTGTGAAGAACATATTATATATCTCTGCTGTTTTTTATTTTTTATAATGTTGGGTGTATTTATTTTCTGGATTAAGGCTTTGTGCATTGTGTTGCATTATTTGTTTATTAATATAAATCTTTTGAGTATCATTTTATGCTTGCATTCTTATCAAAAAAAAATTAAAATTTATGCTTGCATACACAATTACGTAACAGTTACAATTTCTTCTCCCATTTATAGCATTCTTATTCAAGCAAGCCAAAGTCCTAGGAGCAGAGGTGGATGAAGAAAGCAAGAAAGAGCAACAAAGGCAAACCAAGATGAAAATGTTAATGTCATGGCTACCATTGTTGTGTCGAGCGAGCAATGGCACCGATTCACCGGTGTTGAGCATCAACGAAAGAGCAGAGCTAGAAAGAGTATTGGAGGAGATCATAGATATGTTGGAAGAAGAAGAAGATCAAGAGAAGGTGTTGTCTCTATGGCTCCACCACTTCACTTATTGCCCGTCTTCAGACTGGCCTAACCTCCGTGCATGCTACACGCGTTGGTGCAACGCTTCACGCAAAGCTCTTGCTTCTCCAATGAGATGCATGTCTTAAACGATCAAGCAAGCTGTTTTCAGAAATTGATGTGGCAAAGACACTTCTGATAAAAATACACTAGTTAATCTGAGGTATGAGCGAGAAGCTCTGCAAGCTGTTTTCAGAAATTGATGTGGTGAGGACACTTTCTGAATGAGAAGTAGATGCCTTGTGACGAACCGCCGATATCATTGAAGCTCCTACAAAAATGTGGAATGTAATGTTTGGTTTTAAATATGTGATCCAATAGTTTATTGAATTTATCGTGTATATGTAGGCAATTTGTAAATTTTAGTAGGTAGGCATTTATGGTCAAGGCACTCATTGATCATCTTGTCCGCCTTTAGTATGTATTGTGTTGTCTTGATTTTTGTGTTAATGCATAGCAATCAAACACAAGGAGACAGACACAGGTTTGTGATTATCTGTTCATCTTGTCCACCTTTAGCACATATGGTGTTTGTTATGGTTTTTTGGGGTAATGGAGAATAGTTGTGCACAGAAATTAAACACAGAGACTTGTGAGAGTCTCTGTTCTGTTTCTATGTTCCTACCTAGCATCAAAGTAGGGACAATGACGGGGTTATTAGGGATGTGGACCGTTGATTCATGTGTTGCACAAGGAAAAAGGAAAAGGTCGGAAAGAGTATCTTTCGCATTGAAGCCACACTAGTCCTATCTTAACTAATTCTCTTGATAGTGATATGACACAAATTTGGATTAGGTCTTAGAATGCGTACATCATTCATCACCAATTTTTTAGGGCTAGTAATAGTCACCAAATCAGCAAATATGTGTGTGTATATAACGTGTAGCAACAAGTCATTTCACTACAGCTAACAAAAAAAGGAGTTATTTTCATAGATAGAAGTTCTGTTATTATTTTCGAGGTTACATATTTTTATTTGGGTTATTCACATTTATATGTTTGTGTTTGCATGCTTGTGTACCATAGAGAGTGAGAGTGTTACGCAATATGCACAATTTTGTGTGTACAACAATATGCATTTAGAAAAATTACTCTAACAATGAAATGTGTATATAAGATCAAAGTTTCGAAGATAAGTGATCTAATTAAAATTAGTATGGTTGTTGTGTTTTAGTGTAATAAGAGTTAATTAGAATTAGTGGAGTCTTTTATTTTATAAATATGTGGTTAAACCCCTCTAATATTCAGTTTATGATATTTTCATATTTAATATTTTAGAGTTTGAGAACCCTAGTGTCCCAATTTGGGACTCTCTTAACGAAATCTCTTTCTTGATTTGGTGCTATGGTTTGCAAAATTTGAGATGGAGATTCTTTGTCCTTTATATTGGGTTTTGAGATGTAAATTTCTACTTTATTTAGCTATTTTTGAGATGAACTAAGATTGAAATTCGATTTCGGATTACCAAATAAAATCTTAAAATTTTGTAAATGAGCTACCCTACAAACATTTGCAAATTTCAATGTATACAAGTGATTTTTGGTGAATTTGTGATGTATACGAGTGTTTTTTTCCTATTATTTTTTTTACAAGATAGCGGTTAGTATGTCAGTAATTAAATTACAACGCATGCTAACATTTCTCTATAGATTTGAACTTAAAATCTTACTGTTGATACTGATTTCTTGCATTTATATGAGCGAACTTTTATAATTATTTGTTTTTTTTAAATTTTTTTATCTATTCATAATTTGATTGTGTAAGATTTGAGACTTATAAAAAGAAAAGAAAAGAAGGATGTGTAAGATATTGAGGCCATTAATCTTATGGATATTTATTCAAAATTTTCCAATTTATAAACCATTTTCTGTTTTAGATGTTGAAGGTCCAGTTACAAAGGTCCAATTTGCAAAATCAAAAGGCAACCTGCCCAACCACCAAGTTGAAACCTCTGGTATAACTCAACCAACCTCCCTGCGTTTTTTTTCTTTCAAAACTGCACCATGCCAATCTTCTTTCAAAACTGCACCACGCCAATCGTGCACGCCTCTAATTTTAACAAGCTTGAATTATTTGTTTTGTAGAACTTCATTGTTGAATTATTGTCTTTGTAGGATAATTGTGATAGTAGACGTTTTGAATGAGTTCAGATTATTGAATTGTATCAATCAACATGCATTTTGGATGATTTAACTGCAGAGAAAAGAGAATTAGAAAATTGGGCTTCTATGACTCTAAAGCACAGTCAGTGATGGATTATGATGGTTATTGATATCCAAAACATTGAGAACAAATACCTGAAATTGAAGATAAAAATGTTTGAACTAGACATTTCTTTTTTTTGAAATGTTGATTGCGACCAACTTTTGTATTTTACTGCAATGACATTTTTAAATATGGGATTTAAGCGAATATTATAAAGACAATGTTAACGTGAGAACTTAACCAAAAAAGTGCAAGTTTTTATATATTATTTTACCTGGCTTTACATTTCATGAACTCAATCTAACTAGTAGATATGGCCATTGCATAATGAACAACAGGCTTATGACCACTACTTATGTGCACAAATGGACTATAGACGAAGAATATTTTATATTTCAATGACTTTTGTTTGATCACAATTCACAACATATAAATGAATTGGTAACACCACAGTGAACACTACAAATTCCATAATCAACTGGAGAAACATCTACAACCATTTCAAAACAGTTTAAAAGAAAGGAGATTGAACACCCTAGACCACGCACCGTTCACTACTCAACAATTGACCGTTCTTGTTACTTCCAAACACACACACACACACACACACATATATATATATACAAAAAGAAGCAACAGGCTAGCTCTTCACAAAAGCTCCATTTACTTAATAAAGGTACCCGGACAGGGATGTCCAACATGAAACATTGAAGTTACAATATCTATATCCAGCACTCCATCAGATTCTGGACCTCAATCAGATGAAGAGTCCAACGAGAGAAAACACGAGAAAAGTCTCAACCATAGTTAGCATTTACATCAAACTTTCAGTGACATTAGCAAGTACATCAAACACTTCAGTGAACATTGTGCAGTTACATCATCAGATCCAAATAGCTTCCATGTTTGTGCATAATCTTCATCACAACTAATATGTCAACTTTTTTCACTTTTACCATTTTCATGCAATCTTGGATTTTTAGCTTGTGCATTCACCATGTGGATGAAACTTGATTGTCCTGCCCTCCAATATGGAGATGGATGATTATGACCCTAACAAAAAAGTGAAGGAAGATACACGCTGTAATCAAGAAACTTAATTTTGCTATAAGAGCTAGTAAAGCTTTAAACATAACCTATGGTCAGAGTGGGTACCATGAATGGGTGCATGCCAAACCCTTGTAGCATATTATTCTGCCCAAGATGTGGTCTCATTGCAGTGATGCTTGGATGGCCAATCACGTTTGGCAACACCAAGTCATAACTGATTCCACCAACAAGTTGCGACTGTTTCATTCCAGATTTCTGCATTGTATATAAACAGTAATCCAACATCCCCTAAAATCATTATATGTGCACATTATATATAACTAACTTTACAAAAGAAGCAAACTGGCAAACCAAAAATATCAGCCTATTAAATTGCCGTTGTCTAAATGCATATTACATAAGACTTACATTTCGGTGAATAGTTTCTTGTGTACCAGGGGCAACAAATCCAATAGTTGAAGTTGTACCGTGCAAATTACCATCATCATTGTTATTCTGCGAAACGTGAAGCAAGAAATGTTAGCAATGAAATTGAGTAGTAATCAAACAACAATGAAGCAATATAATTTATCACTACTATGACCTTCTCTATATTTCCCTCAGTAGTTGTGGTCTTCAGCTTCTTTTTTCCTTCCTTTTTTTCCTTGATAACTTTTTCAACCTTGGATTGCTTCCTCTTGCACGGTGGTCGCCCCTTTTGACGAACAGTCAATGGATCAAGTATGTTTGTGCTTCCTTTTGAAATTACAATACCATCCCCTTGTGAGGTTGACTCATTATGAGTAACCATAGAAACATGTTTATTGCTTCCGGAAACAACTTCAACTTCTTTGAAGTCCTCTTTTAGTTCATGTAAATGTGCCATCACCTTTTCACACCTATATTCAAAATCTGCTGCCAAATCGGCAACCTCATAGAAGGCATTGCACATTTTATCATAGCGACGTGCTTCAAGTTTGAGAGACGAGTTGTCATAACAGATTCGAACTTTAGTGTGCCTCCTTTTTACATTTTTGTTCCATCTTTTTAAAATGTATTTGTTTGGTATTCGATGAATCCCCCTTTGCAAAAATACCATAATTTGATGTCTGCATGGTATTCCCTTAAACTCAAACAACCGACAAGTACAATTAGCTTCACTGGTTTCTTCTTTAAAAGAAACATTGAAAATTGCACGCTGAAGACTTTCTTCAAATGATACATCTTGTTCAACTTCATATTCTACAAATCCACCACCTTCTTTACGTGAAGACAAATAACAATAAATCTTTCCTATTAACTCCTGCTGAAACTCTTCAAATTTTGCCATCGTATAAGCACTCTGGAATTGCTTCTCTAACTCATAATGTGTTATGCATGGGATGTACGAGTTGAAAGATTTAAATTCTTCACTATTTTCATTTTCCACCTTTTTTGCCAAAGCATTGTCATATTGCTCCAAAAACTGTTTCAACGTGGTCTTCGAGTTGATAAACTCATCAAAGAACGTGGGCATACTTTCACTTTGCTGTATGGCTGACATTCCTGCCCAAAATAAATCTTTTACAAATGCAGGCACCCATCGATGCCTCTCATCATACAACCCAAGTAGCCATTCATTGGTTTTAAGTTGATGATTCTCAATAAACTTGGCCCAATTTTCTTCAAATTCTTCCTTCGTTAATGAGTCATAAACTACTTTTTGCATACACAATTGCATGGATTCATATTGTTCATACCCACTCAATTTCTCGGACAACTTTTTCATGATATGCCACAAGCACCACCGATGTCGTGCATTAGGGAAAACAATCTCTATGGCCTTTTTCATAGCTATGTCATGATCTGTAATTATTGCAATTGGAGAACATCTATACATGCATGCAAGCCAAGACTGGAATAGCCATGTAAATGTTTCTGTGTCTTCATGTGAGATGAGTGCACACCCTAACAACATCAATTGCCCATGATGGTTCACCCCTACAAAATGAGCAAATGGCAAGTCATATTTGTTCACCAAGCATGTTGTGTCAAATGTAACCACGTCACCAAATTCTTTGAATGCCGCCCTACTCCTTGCATCGGCCCAAAACACATTCCTTAGTCGACCCTTTTCATTGAAATCCATTGCGTAGAAGAAATCTGAATTGTCAACTTGCATTTTCAAAAAATAATCGTGCATTGCAGTAGCATCTCCTTCACCAAGCCGCAAGTGTCCAGTTTTTTTGACAAATTTTTTGCAGTCCTTCTCTAGAATTGGCATATTCTCATGCCCCCCTGCCTCGCGCACAATTGAATTCGAGTTCTTGTTCATTCCACTATCAATTCCATCATTTAATTCAAGTCTCCCTTTCACATGCGGTTGAAGTATCTTGTTGCACTTGTAAAACTTACATTTGCCTGGACTCAACTCATGGTTGTGGTCAAGTACAAAGGAGTTCAATACCCACCTGTCATTGGGGCGCAAAACTGCATTAAGACCAGCTTTGCAACCCGTTTTTGTTTGCTTTCGAAGTCTAATTGAGTTGCTTGGTCTGATCCTTGGCTTACCAGCACGATTACAGGAAACACTTACATACTTCGTCTTCCCATCATCACCCTTTTTGCAGGTTCTTTTAGACACGGAAAAACCATTTTGCTTGGCATATCTTCTGTAATAGTTATAAATCTCATCAATGGAGTTAAATTCCATTCCCAACTTGGGGTCCTCAACATTGTCTTCTGCATTTTCCATTTCCCCCATTTCATTCTCAATATTTGCTTCATTTAGCTCCACACTTCCTTTATTCATTTCAATCTCAATAATATCTCCATCCACCTCCACACTTGAACAGACGCTTGCCACTTCTTCTTCCATGGAACTAAAATATTAAAATAAAAAAAAACAACAACATTAATAATAATGAAAAAGAATTCCCACAAAAATTGACCAAGACTCACTCAGCCACCAAAGAATTATCTGCCAAAATTTTTAGTTATGCTTATTTTATTAACAACAGGAACTAAGCCCCAGTACATATTCAAATCTACAACCTTGGATACAACACCACAATGCAGAAAATTTTAGAACAAATACAGATTTCATACTCTACCATATCCACATTACTGTTATGCAGCATGCATTGGACATTCCATAGCAGGGTGGAACAAAACAACACATTCAAGAGAAGCAATTACTGCATTTATTCGAATAAAGTCTATATAGATTTAACAAGGTAAAACAGTATGAATCTGTTAGCACAAATTCAGTGAACTTAATTTCAACAAAGAAACAACAACCCAATCATCAGCAAACCCATTTCTATAGAATCATGATGCATAAGAATCAGTAGGAAGATTATGTAGTAGGATGGTTATACATAACATTTATCAGTGGAATTCAAAGAATTCAAAGAAGATATGGAGAATATATAACACAGAATCTGGGAATTTTTGAAGATAAAAAAAAAGTAGGTATTTTCGACATTACATACCTTCAACGGCGACTATGATGGCCGATTGAGATTCAGGCGACGGCAGTAGGAGCTCCGGTCGGCGAGGGTTTCCTGAAAAAAGCGTGCGCGCGAGATATAGAGAGAGAAAAGAGAGTGGGATTTGGGATTGGGTTCTTTTGTTTGAACCTTGTTAGTTTTTTTATTTTTTAATAATTACAATTTCTTTAATAATAATCAGTATATTTTAGTTTCAGTTTTTTGAATTTAATTTTTAAAAATTGAATTTTTTATTTTTTATTTTTGGTGAATATTTTTTAAATTTTAAATACTTTTTAAATTTTTTTAAATACACCTTACTTAGATGCATCTAAATAATAAATTATTTGTGAAAATATATTTTACAAAATTAATAAATATACAAAATATAAAAAAATGTACTGAATTATTATTTTTTTATATTTTTGGTATTTAGTGAATTTTTAAAAGTTTTTTTTCACAAATATTATATTTTCTAAGTGTATTTATGTTAGGTGTGTCTAAAATTTTTTTAAAAAAAATTACTTAAAATATTAAAAAAAATTCAGTGAAAACAAAAAAAAACAAAAAATGAACAAGTAAATTTTTTTGAAAAGTGAATTCTAAAAATTGAAAACAAACAAAGTGAATTTTATTTTAGACATTATAGTTTTAAATTGAATAATTTAAATTCTACATTTTTTTTAGGGGGATTTTTTTTTAAGGTCCATAGTATTAAGATTTTATAGCATAAAGGACATTTAATATTTTAATAATGTCTAAGGTCCCTCAAGTTGATCTAGAGAAAATTCACGTCACAGAGAAAATTGGTCCAGAGAAATTCTAGGAGACTTTCTAGAGAAATTTTAAAAAAATTTCTGACTTTCCCTAAACTTTCCACTTTAAATTTCTCTGCCCTCTCCTTTTCCAAATTTCTCTGCCTTCCATATACTTCCCACTCTTCCAAAGAAATTTCTCTGCCTTTCACAAAATTACATCTCCAGAGAAATTTTTTCTCTGCCCTTCGTGCCTCTCCTAGACTCAACACTCCAGAGAAATTTGAAAATTTCTCTGACTTCACTGGCCTTCAATTTGCACATGTGAATTTTTTTTAGTGGATCAGCACAAATAAAACTAAAGGAGAGAGAAAACAAGAGATATTATCAACAAAGCAAAGATAGAACACAATTACATGATGATTTTTTTTTTTTTTGGAATGGAATTTGCCTCTTCACCAGAGATTCATTTGATCGCATATCAACCACTTCTTATGCACAAAGTTGGTGTCATTTAGTGGTCGTACGTGTTTGGATCCTTCAAGTATTTGTTGTAAAGCCACTTGGATGTGTCGAGAGCATCTCCATTGCTTTGCACCGGATACAAATTCCTACTGCTTTGCCAATCCTTTGTAAGCTTAATCCAATCCTTCCTCCAATCTTTCATGCAAAAATCATCACCCTTTTCCGAACTCTCTGTCAGAAATTTGAAATATATGGCTGCTCTGGGGCCATAGTAATCTCGTAGAAGCCCACTCTAGTACTTGTTTCCTAGAAGAGAAGAAACAAATGTATCAATGTGCATCATATGAGCATTTTCCTAATGATAAAAACAACTTAATTAAGTCTGGTAAAAACAAATTTTCACATGTGCCTCAAATTTTCTGAAAATCTCAAATTGTCAAAATGAATCCAGAGAAATTTGAATTTTCTCTGGGTTTGAGTGAAGAAGCTATAAAGATTTGAAATTTGAAATTTGAAATAAAAAAGTGAAACAGTTGTAGGGGTATTTGAAATGTAAATGTTGTGACTTCCCAGATAGTCAACTGATAAATTCCCAGAGAAAATCACAAAAACTCAGAGAAATTCATTGATAAATTTCCAGAGAAAATCACAAAAACTCAGAGAAATTCAAAAAAAGATACTCAAAAAAGGACAAATTTAAGGAATATGTTCAGTAGATCCTCATGTTCTACATCTTCATGTACTCCACTAACAAAAATGACCCCACCCTCACTTGCTGTAGGAATTAAAACAATTAGTGGAAATCAAATTTCTTCAAATTGGTACAAAAGCATTAAGAGAATAAAATCTACTCATGATTATGTACAGTTATGAACTCATGAAAGATTAAACTTTAAATTATATAAAAGTAGCATGTCATAACAAACACTTTTATGAGATTTTCAGAATTATTTATTTATTTTTTTTGATCAGCGAGATTTTCAGAATCATATGAATAAAAAAATTACAAGAAGGGAAAAAGATAAAAGCAATGCTTAATGTATGTCGTTTTAGATTCACTAACTGAAGCAGTGTTCATGGAAAATTTGAAAAGTTTTTTGAATTTTAGTTTCTGTTAATTTTCCTGCACTTTCTCAGCAATCAAACATATTTCATTGACTTCTTTTGAGCAATCTTCTCCAAGTTCACCAAAATACTTCAACAGCATAATTGCTTGCTCCTCCTTCCCCAGCTCCTCCGCTGTCGTAGCTCCTTCATTGATGATCTCTGCACCACCACTTCTCTCCCAAGCCCTAATAGCTTCCTCTTCAATGAATTGCCCAATTTACTAGTGTTGCTTCCATTGTTGTGATTATTGGTTTTCTTTGATTTCTTGTGCTTTGTTTTCAGACCCAAAATTGCTCTTCCTGTTACTAGGAAATATGAAGTAATTGATCAATATGTTACTGTAGCAGATAAGGAGGAAGTGAAAAGGAAGATGCGGGTTTCCTTACCTGATGATTATACTGAGAAGCTCTGTGCTCAAAGAAATGGCACTAAGGAGTAAGATATGGAGATTCTTGAAGTTAAGGATTATAAACCTAGAAAACAGCTTGGAGAGAGAGCTTTACAGCAATGGCGAACCTTAGCGACACCGAGTCTTCGTTTCGGCGCTCTCGCTCCACTGCGACTCCATTCTTTTGTCATCGATTCGCCAGAGTCAGCAACATGATGATCATGAGATCGAGATCGATGAGTTGATTTGAGAGAGTCAAATTTCTCTGTAATACATGGGTGTGGGGTTGAGGGACCTTAGACATTATAAAATAATATTGTGGATCTCTTCCATTACTAAAAATGAGAGAGGGACCTTAGACTAATTTTTCATTTTTTTTTTTGGTGACATATTTGATTTGCAAGATTAATGTAAAGGAATTAATAATTTTTGAATGGAGATTTTTTTTAGGGTCCCTAGCATTAAGATTTTATAGTATAAAAGACATTTAATATTTTCATAATGTCTAAGATCTCTCAACATCAATCCAGAGAGAATTCAATCCCAGAGAAATTATCTTCCTAGAGAAATTCTAGATCTATCCCAGAGAAATTTTGTTCTCAGAGAAATTTTGGATCTATCCCAGAGAAATTTTGTTCCCAAAGAAATTCAGAATCCATCACCAAAGAAATTCTGGATCCATCCCAAAGAAATTCTCTTCCCAGAGAAATTCTGCACTTCTCTATAGCTTCTCTGTCTGTTGATAAGTTCTCCTCCATATTCTCATTATTTGATAGCTTCTCATCACTTTTCTTATCAAACTCATTCTTTGAAGCAACAGTAGCCTTCTCTGTAGCTTGTCCCATGGGCCTAAGAGCTGGTGAGGATAATTTCTGCTCTGTTGAAGTTGGAATCCACGTTGGCCACTCGTCGCATCTTCGTATCTTGCCATCCTACAATAATAACACCTAATCTAGGTTGAATAAGGGTTTTACAAACAAAAAACAGAGTACTAGAAGTAGAAGCATCACAAATAGATAACTTTATCACAATAATCAAAAAATTAAACAAATGCTGAGAGGTGGGTCTGTACTCATCACAAACATCTAACTTGCACTTCAATAGTATAAGAAGTCTGCAAAGCATCAAGGATAAATGATTCGTTTGTACTTATTTTCTTCACCTGCATCTCATCGTATGAGATAATATCATAAGCTTAATAACAATTAATGTACGAGAGTCTGATCATGAAGGTCGGTGAAGAGAAGGAGATCGAGAAGCAAGGTTTGAAGAAGAAGCTTGTCAAGGATGGTAAAGATTGGGACACTCCTGATAATGCGATGAAGTTGAAAGTAAACTAGTTATTCATCTAGGGACCTTCAACTACAAAAAAGAAATATTGTGGATTTCTCCTATTACTAAAAGTTGGAGAGGGATGTTAGACTAAATTTCCCTTTATGAAATTGGTGTAGAATTAGTTATCCATCTTTCTTTCTTTCTTTTTTTTTTTTCTTTTTTTTTGAGGGGGATTAGTGTAATACATATTTACTTCTGCTTTATTGTTTGTTTTGCAAATATGAGAAATTTTAATATGCACCCCTTTGAAAATGGTGCATCATATGCACCTCAATTATGACATTTTTTCTTTTTAGTTTTGATTAATTTTCTTTTTTAGTTATGACATTATTTTAGTTATGCCTCATTTTATGTTTAGTTATAATATTTTTTTTTTCAAAGGTATGACTCAAAAATTATGAAATTACGCCATTTTATTTTTTAATTATAAGGTGTATACCGTAGTGTTTCCCTTACAATATATATGAAAATATATAATCTCAAACAAAAAAAATATTATTTATATAAATAAAAAATTTATACATAATTTCTACACGTAATAATATGGCTCAATGTAGGTCATTCATCCTCAAAATAATAACATTAAACCCATCCATATAGAGACATGCATTGATACGTAAAAGGTCCACATTCATCTATCCCTCAAAAGTATTTCATTACAAAAGTATTACATGTTTACAACAAAAGCAAATGCCCTACGGGCTTACAGCTTTCCAAGTTAACACTTGGTTACAAAAGAGAGTACTAATTTAATTACACATTAAGTTCTTGGCTTGAAACTATATGTAATACAATCAAGGAAAATAAGACAGCCAAAATATGTCCGCCTCTAGCCTCCCAAGCTATGTCCTTAGAGGTGGCATGCTACCTGTACCTGAAAATGATGTCCCCATATAGGGTGAGCCACAGCCCAGTAGAAATATACTAAACCAACTATGAACAATGACTAAGAGATTAGCAACTGGTAGATGGTCAACACTTACACTTCCATTTACATCTTATTACAACTCCATGACGGTTAAGTCTAGGTTACAATTCACCTTCCATTTCTTATTCAACTTTGAGTTTGAAAACAAGGTTCAGTACTCTGGCCAAAACA